CTATATGTCATTCAATCACAAATTATACCTTCTCTCACATCCAACTCATGCCCACGTCATCACTCTACTAAACATCTTTTCATTTAAACATTCACTCATATTTTTATTTATTCATTTAAATACATATATATGGGACTCACTATCCATTCATTTAATATAAAATTAAAAATAAATAATTTGGGGGCCCACATCAAATATTCTAAAAAAAAAAATTGCATCAATAGACATCTAAATATCGAGTTAAATATCAAAAAAGAACAAAAAAATAAAAAAAGCAACATTATATCGTTCAATGGACTGAATTGATGAAGGTTGGTCTACATTAAATGAATGCTTTGCATCTCATCTAACGGCCCACCCTTCATTTAAATAGGGCAAAAAACTAGCGTTGCGGATGTCCTTAGATAAATAATAAAAAATACGTTCAAGAATAAGTCATTTATTCGATTTCGAAAGCTTATGGCCTCAGTGTGGGGGGGGCCATGGTCCCCCCCAAACTTTTTTTTTTTAATAGTATTAGGTATGTATTATACATAGTTTTGTGTATATATAAGTAATTTGCCCCCCCCACACCCATTAAAATATAAAATTAATGTAGTAGATTGTAGATAGGAACAAATCTGACATGTCTTTGCCATTTCGTTCTCTCTTTTTTACTTTAATAAATATATATAATATAATATAATAAATTAAGTTAATTAATTATTCTTTATATTATTAAATTAATAATTAAGCTAACATCAAAAGATAAAAAAAGAAATGGGATTCTGCACGCCCTTTGGCCCCTTTCTCTCTCTTTTGTTCACAATTATTTTGAGAAGGCAGAAGCAGTTTAAGGACGAGAGGCAAACTGGCGAGAGCCAAAAAAAAAAAAAAAACACATTGATGATCGATTGATATTTGGGCATTTATCACCCAGTTGAGAAATTATATTCGTAAGTACTTTTATTTACATATTTGTCTATGATGGTATTTATTTGTTCTTTTGAGTCATTTAGGGTTTATCAAGTTGAATGTACCAAGAATCTAGATTTGATAATTAGGTCGGAAATATGTAATCTTCAAGCGTAGTTTGAACAATATTCGATCGATTTGACATTAGAATCTCTATTTTTGCTCTTTAAAGTTATAATTTTGAAGGCAATGATGCTCAATTTATGTTCTACATCTAGTTCTTTTTTAAAATAAATAAATAAGTAAAACGTTTGTTTTATATTCCTCATCTTAACCACTCATAAGTATTCAACTGCTTAAACAAGTCTCTACTCCTGGTTCTTAATTTTATGTAACTATGTAAGTATGCAGCAATTTCATATTTATGTGGAAATAGAATAAATAATAATTCCTTAAAAGAGGACCATTGT